TCTGGTGACTGTAAGATCAGAAGACTAGCTGTCTCTGGACCCCTCTCCTGCCTTTTAAAAAGAAGATCTACAGTTTTGAGGGGGTGAGGCAAGGTCTGAGACTTGTCCCAGCACTGCTTATTGTTATACAATTATACTCAACACTTAATTAATACTGTACAAACATTAACTAGTTAATCATTAGCCAATCTTACTGGTTACTAATGCGATGATTGAAATAAAGATATAGCAAAAGAACAGTAACAGAGAGAGAGGAAGCATGTGAGAGAGAGTAAAATGATGGAAATAGAAGTCCAAGATGGAAGAGTCAGGAATCATTATGGAAATTGGCATGTAGTTAGGGATGTAGTAATAAACAAGGGAGACATTTCCCAGCTAACATTCTTGTTTCTCCAAAAACACCTCTGCTCACGAGAGACATTTTTTACTTGTGCCACATTACTGACGACATGACTCTCAAAAGAGCCAGCATAAATATTTTCTTATGAACAGACTCCAAGGTTGGGCCATAAGTAAAGCTGTCAAAACAGAGGGAAAACACATTAAATTCTTGTACACAGAGATGCAATATGCTTGCCCCTTTGCCTACTTCGTGTAATGCATATAGCCTGTTTTAATTCTAACCACAGTTCAAAGCTCATTCCAAATCCATATACTATTTAAGGAACAAAATGAGGTTCCATTATGTGAACAGCAGTAACACTTTTTAATGGCTCATATTTCTTCATATATGGAACCCTTTTGTGTATATTTCAGATTTGGAATATTTAACTGGTGTAAGATTAATTTGATGGTCTCAATCTACTTGGGGTTTATCTAAAAATAGAATGCCAATAGTGTTAAAAGGCGGAGCTCCTCCTGGAAGCTGCCACAAGGAAATAGACCCATATGGAGATACTGGCAAACTTTTGTCATAAAAATTGACTTGGCATAATTGATAATCCTTAAAAAAATAGTTGTCCTCTTTCAGATCATTTTACAATAATTTTATTCAGAGGTGTTTGAATATATCAAGGCAGGAAGGGGCACATGGCTTGTCTCACTGGCGTCTCAGTGAGTTATGCTGTTTTCTGTTAGCACAAGTAAGAGGAAGTTACTCACTTTGTGCAGTAACGATTGTTCTTCGAGGTGTGTTCCCGTGGGTGCTCCACATCTGGTGTCGGGCTGGTCCCAGTGCCGCAAATCAGAACTTGACAGAGCTGTGTGTGTGTGTGTGTGTGTGTGTGTGTGTGTGTGTGTGGCCGGACCACGCGCGTGCAAGCCAGTTTTGCGCCTTTCATCTGCCACGCGTGGTCCGGCGTCCGCCAGTTCTTCTCATCCACCTTGGGTCGCAGGTATAGCACCCACGGGGACACACCTCGAAGAACGATCGTTACTGCACAAAGTGAGTAACTTCCTCTTCTTCTTTGGGTAGTCCCCGTGGTTGCTCCACGTCTGGTGACTCCAGAGCAGTAATCCCAGTTAGACGTGGGCTTCAGAATCAGGATTTTGAACACTAGGCAGCACTGCCAAGGCTACCGCTGAATCGGAGGTAAAGTGCTGAACAATTGCGTAATGCCTTGAAAAAGTGGAAGTAGAAGACCAAGTTGCTGCCCGGCAGATGTCCCGCAGAGGGACTCCTCTCACGAAAGCTGCAGACGTGGCAACTGCTCGTGTCGAGTGGGTCCTAGGCTACGACGGGAGTGGCTTCTTACAAATAGTGTAGAGACAAGCAGTTTAGAAATATGCTGGGCCGATAAGGGCTTGCCCCTAGAAGGCCCTGATGTCGAAACAAAGAGGCGATCTGACTTACGAAGAGTATGGGTTCTATCTATATAGAATGCCAAAGCTCTACGAACATCGAGGCTACGTCTAGACTGGCCACAAATTCCGGAAAAGAGATGCAAATCAGGTAAGTCAGCATAGGGAAATCCGCGGGGGAAAAGCCGGAAAAAAAGCGTCTAGACTGGCGCGATCCTCCAGAATAAAGCCTTTTCCAGAGGATCTCTTATTCCTACTTGAAAGGAAAGGCTGGATGAGATCTCAGTATCACTGATTCCACATTAAAGACTGTATAGGGAGGTGTTGACATCAATGCAGCTAATTCGCTCACCCTATGTGCCGATGTTATGGCAAGGAGAAAGAGTGCCTTCATTGTAAGCATCGACATGGGTACCGTAGCCAACGGTTCAAACGGTGGCCGAGTTAGGACATCAAGCATCAAGTCAAGACTCCATGCAGGTGGCAGAAGCCTACGTGGTGGGTTAAGGTTAGCCAATCCTTAGAAAAACCTAGTCATCATGGGATGGGAAAAAAACGACTTGCCTTCAACAGGGAAGTGAAAAGCAGTTATCGCCGCCACGTGGACTTTAAGTGATGAGATGGAGAGTCCAGTCGACTGTAGCTGGAGGACATAGTCTAGTAAAATGTGTAGTGGTGAAATAAGAGGGTCTAGAAGCTTAGGAGCGCACCACTGTGTGAATCTAGACCACTTGGACAGGTAAGTTTTCCTCGTGGAATCCTTCCTGCTGTGTAAGAGGACACACTTCACCTAGTCTGAGCAAAGATTCTCGGATGTGCTGAAGCATGTGTCATCCACGCGGTCAGGTGCAGAGTATCTAGCTTCGGATGAAGAAGGGAGCCTTTCTGTTGTGTGAGCAAGCCTGGTAGGTAAGGCAATCGGCGCTCGTATGGAGAACTGCAGAAGAGTTGAGGACCATGGTTGTCTGGGCCAAGCTGGGGCTATGAGTATCACTCATGCCCTGTCCATCACGATCTTCTCGAGTACTCTGGGAATGAGTACTACAGGGGGGAATGCATACAAAGTAATGTGCCCCAATGAAGGAGAAACGCATCTCCCAGAGAGTGATTGCCCACTCCTGCTCTGGAACAGTAAGCTCTGCATTTCGCATTGGCATGTGTGGCGAACAGCTCTATCACCGGAAAACCCCACTGATGGAAGAGAGGTAAGAGGACATCCATGCGGATCACCCACTCATGGTCTTGAGGGAAATGTCTGCTCAGTGCATCCGCAATGGTATTGTTCGCACCCGGTAAGTATGATGTGATTATAAAAATGTTGTTTCGAATGCACCAGTCCCAAAGGCGGATTGCTTCTGCACAAAGTTCACATAATACATCGCCACTACATTGTCTGTGAGAATTCTGGTGACAGTGCCTCTTATGTGTAACTTGAAGTGTTTGCAGGCATGAAACACCGCTCGGTGCTCGAGAAGGTTGATATGGAGCATCATCTCCGTCGTGGACCAGCGGCCCTGAACTGTTTCTGCGTCCATGTGGGCACCCCATCCGATGAGAGAAGCATCCGTGGTTATCTCCGTTGACGGCTGCGGTGCATGGAAGGAGACTCCTGACAGCATGTTGTTGTGATTGGTCCACAATAAGAGGGAGTCCTTGACATGTGCTGGTAGCACCACGGTCTTGCGGATGCTGTGCCTGGCGGGATTGTATACCTTGCTTAGCCAATGCTGCAGGCACCTGAGGTGTAGCCTTGCGTGGTGCACTACGATTGTAGCCGACGCCATATGACCCAAAAGCTGGAGGCATACGCGTACTGGGAGCGTTGGAGCTTGCAGGACCGTTTTTATCAGGTCTTGTATAAGCGGTGCCTTGTAGGCTTGTACACCGTGCTCAGCCAATGCTGCAGACACCTGAGGTGTAGCCTTGTGTGGCGCACTATGATTGTTGTTGAAGCCATATGACCCAGAAGCTGGAGGTATACACGTACTGGGAGCGTTGGAGCTTGCAAGACTGTTTTTATCAGGTCTTGTATTAGTTGAAAATGCTCGACTGGCAGATGAACTCTCTCTAACTGGGAGTCGAGACGCGCTCCTATGAAGTTTAGAATTTGTGTTGGTTGTGGACGTGATTTTTGAATGTTCACAATAAGGCTGAGGGAATCGAACAAATCCCGAGTTGCAACTACCATGTGAAGTGCCTCTGACTGAGTGCGTCCCTTGATGAGGCAGTCGTCGAGGTAGGGGAAGATAGAGACTCCTATCCTTCGTAGATGGGCAGCCACTACCGCTAGTGATTTGGAGAACACCCTTGGGGCTGAAATGAGGCCGAAAGGCAGTACCCTGTATTGAAAATGGTCGTCGCCCACTACGAATCTCAGAAAATGCCTGTGTGCTATGTGTATTGTCACATGGAAATATGCGTCTTGCAAATCTAGGACTGCGAACCAGTCTCCTTTGTTTAGTGCTGGCATGATCTTGGCCAGCATGGTCATTTTGAAGCACTGCTTTCGGATGAAATGATTTAGAGCCCTCAGATCGAGGATGAGTCTCCACCCCCCGGATTTTTTGGGGACTAGGAAATACCTGGAGTAAAACCCTTTCCCCCGGAATTCATCAGGTACTCTCTCTATGGCTCCGATCTCGAGCAGGTGAAAAACTTCTTCTCGAAGAGCGGCCCCGTGAGATGGGTCCCTGAGAAGGGATGGGGTGGGAAGAGTAGTAGGGGGAATTGAAGCAAACGGGATCGTTAGGTCTGATGATATAACCTCTAGGACCCATCAGTCTGAGGTAATGGTGGCCCATTGATGAAGAAATGGCCTCAGGCGTTGGTGGAATAAGGTGGTGGCAGGCTTTAATGTGTTGACCGGTGGAGATGTGTTCGAGTCCCCCGCACAGGAGTCAAACCTGCTGCTTCTGGGAAGGCCGAGCTGAAGAGCGATTCTGCTGCTGACGTTTGCATTGAGGGCGCTGTCTAAATCTAGGCTGGTCGGATCCACGTCGCTGTTGCTGCTTATAGGAGAAGTAATCATATCTCCTCTGGAAGGGGTAGTACCGCCTGCGTTTGAAAGGTGGCGTGTACATCTCTAGAGATCGAAGGGTAGTACGAGAGTCCTTGCCAGAATGGAGAACCTCATCGGTAGTAGAAGCAAACAGCTTTTGACAGTCAAAGGGTAAATCTTCCACTTTGGACTGCAACTCCTTAGGGGCTCCCGCTGACAATAACCAGGAAGCTCTTCTCATCGCGATACCTGTTGCCATTGCTCAAGCGACTGTGTCGGCAACGTCCGTGGTGATCTGAAGCGATGTTCTACATGCAGTGAACCCTTCCTGGACAACAGCTTTAAGGAGAGACCTCTTATTGTCAGGGAGATGTTGCATAAGTTCCGGGAGCTTGGAGTAATTGTCAAAGTTATGGTTTGACAAAAGAGCAGCATAATAGGCAACCCGCAGTAGCAAGGTTGAGGAGGAGTAAACTTTTCGACCAAAATAATCCAATTTCTTTGTATCCCTATCCGGTAGGGAATTCTTAAATTGGGACATCTTGCTCTTATGGCGAACTGCATCCACTATCAGGGAATTCGGCTGCGGGTGATTGAAAAGAAATTCCAAACCTTTGGACGAGACAAAATACTTTTTATCCATTTTCTTATTTGTGGGCGGTATTGATGTTGGCGTCTGCCAGATGTCCTGTGCTACCTCCAAGATAGCGTCATCTATTGGGAGGGCAATCTTTCTTTGTTGGTTAGGGTGTAAATTCTTAAATAACTTATGCTGCTTAACCTGGGACTCAGTAAGTTGCACCTCCTGGGATTGTGCGGCATGTTTAAACAGGTCTTGGAATTCTTTAAGATCGTCCGGAGGTGACGTCTCGCCCAGAGACAGCGATTCATCCCTAGAAGGCAATGGTGAACAGGTATTAGGCGACATGTCCGGGTCAGCTTCCGAGAGTTGCCCTTCCTCTAGGTCTGACATTTGTGATTGGTGCATCGGAGAACGAGAAGGTATCGTACGTTGTAGCGGAGAATGTTTGGGAATCTCTGAAAGCACAGAGTGTGGGCTAATTGACCGACAGGAACATGGAGACCTGCGATGAGATGGAGAGTGACTGTGATGAGATGATCAACATAGTCCGGTCTATGACAATGCGTATAATGCTGGTCAGACCCTGCAGGCGACGAACGTCTAGAAGATCTAGCACTGCCGTACCTGACATAATAGGTGCTTCGTGGTGAACGAGTTGGTGAGCGTGAAACGTCTAGAAGATCTAGCACTGCTGTACCTGACATAATAGGTGCTTCGTGGTGAACGAGTTGGTGAGCGTGAGCGTCTTGTAGGAGAAGGAGATCTAGAACATCTCTGGTGTGAACAGCTATTCTCTCTGTAATAATGGTGATGAGATGAGAGACTTCACTGATAATAATCCCTGTGATCTCTTGTATGGTGCGTAGAAGCACAAGGGTGAGGAGATGGGTCCCGATACGACCCCGGTGAGGTACGCAGGGAGATTCCCTGGGTATTTGATTTTGATGCTGCTGGAAGCTGTCCAGAGCCTGGATACTGAAGGGTTAAAGGCTCAGAAGGAAGCATCTGGGCAGGAGTATGCTGTTCCCCTGCAGGTGCGGAAGACAGCTCCCTGTGAGGAGCAGCGATTGCAGGCATCTCAGCACTCGGCACCGATAAGACCGGTGCCGCTGTAGCTGGCTCTTTAAGAAGCCCCGGTGCCGAGGGCTGTTGAGATTGGGAAATGCCGGCCAGCTTCTTTGTTGAAGGAGCATGGGTTACCCTCGAGCGAGAGGTACCCGGCTTGTCACCTGCGCTCACCCGCCATTGCGGAGCAGCTGGCAGGGAATGAGCGGGAGAGGCTCTCTTCCTTTTCGGTGAAGGCATAGCCTCAGAAGGAGCCTTCCGCTTGTCAGCCGTGGGGTCTGAGGCAGAGGATCCTGAGGCAGTGGAAGGCATGAGAGCCTTATTGAACAGGATCTCTTTTAAACAACATTCCCGCTCCTTGCGGGCTCTGGTCGTCAGGCTGGCACAGTGGGTGCACTTTTGGGGGATATGTGCCTCCCCAAGGCAGCGGATACAAGCCGAGTGCCCGTCCGACACCGGCATTGGCTCAGCGCAACTAGCACACTTTTTAAAACCGGGGGAGCCTAGCATTTTTGCACTCTGAAAGGGCTGAGCGTTCGCGCCTCCTAAGTGCCGCCGCTTTTGTGTGTGTGTCCCCGGCTTTCTTTTCGCTTGTAGTTCTTTATTACAATGGCTTTGTCCTCTCTCTTTTTTTTTTAAACAGTTAAGTTAAACAGTAATGATAATGGGGAGAGCAGTGAATGGGGAGACACGCCTCTCCGCGGTTTGCTTGTTCGGATTTCTCTAGGTATTATTTTTTTCTTCTTCTTCTTCTTCTTCTTCTTCTTTTTTTTTTATCAAGGAGTCAGTGGAGGTAAAAACAGTCTAACAGAAAAAACACTATCACTACATAGAAGTAGAACTGCTCGTTTTCGGTTTTTAGGTTTCTTTTCCTCTTTTTTCTCTTTTTTTTTTTAAAACGAGCCCGCAACCCGGGCTAAACGAGGAACGATTTTTATTCTTTTTACCTTTTAAAACTTATTAACTTTCCCCACAGATAACTTACTGAAGGGAAAGGGGAACCTCTGCTTGAGGAGAAAGGGGGAGCTCCGTCTGTGACCCAAGGCGGATGAGAAGAACTGGCGGGCGCAGACCCCGCGCGGCAGATGAAAGGCGCGAAACCGGCTTGCACGCGTGCGGTCCGGCCAGACACACACACAGCTCTGGCAAGCTCCGATTTGCGGCACTGGGACCAGCCCGACACCAGACGTGGAGCACCCTCGGGGACTACCCGAAGAAGAACAAATATTCCAATATATATAATGTTTCAAGCAAAGTACAAACATTAATGGTTTTTGCAGCAATCAGCTTTTGGATACAGCCCTTACTAAACACATATCAAAGGGAATCTTAAATACAGCAAATTAACCGTTGGGCTAATCAAGGGGATTTTTAGTGTAGCTAGTAGATGTGGGGGACATAATCCAGTTTCAAAAAGGACATGTTGGATTATCAGTGTTCTCTAAATGAAAGTCAATTTTCACACCTACCAGAATTTAAGGTATTCATTTAATAGTTTTGCAAGATAGGTATGAACTATAAAATTCAAATCTTCATTTGGATATGAGAGCTCTCACAATTATGGAGTACTTAATCCCAGGGTGGTTCAATACATAGAGAGGTATTAGCAGTGAAATTTGCATCCAAGTCCAAATTCAGATTCCACATTACTCCAGTGATCAGAGGTATATGAGGCTGGAGGCTTGATTCAGGCCCTTCACTAATTTTGTTTTATGTTAATATCTAGTAACTGAAGGTCTGCATGTGAGAATGAGTTGAGGTCGCTGAGAGTGGGTTGGGCCCAAGAAAGCTCAAGATACTACCTATATTTTTTGACTAGTCTCTAAGGTGCTATAGGACCACTCTTTTTTTAAGGTGTTGTGGGTTTTTTTGAGTGCCTCACACTAATGTTTGTTATTTTGCTGGATTGGTCCGTAATTGTCTTCTACTCTCTGAAATTTTTCCTTTATAGTTCCAAGTGGGATGAAGCAGCATTTCTGTGCTATGTAACAGTGGTTCTCAACCAGACACCTGGGCCCCCCCGTATGGCCACAAGCAGGTTTCAGGGGGTGTGCCAAGCAGGACCACTTTTGGACTCATTGGGGTTTAGGGCAGAAAGCCAAAGCCTGAGCAACATAACTTCACAATGCCCCATGTAACTGCTTGCTACCACCAAACTCTGGTGCTACATTTTATATGCAGAAAACTAGCTGTTATGTTACAGGGAGACTGGAGTTTTTCTAGCATGGTGGAGGAGACTCAGAAAAAGTTTACAGCCACCGCATTAAAGTTTGGATCCTTTGCCACATTCTGGAAAGACAAGGACAAGTAATATTACAGCATTGTTGTAGAATAGTAATAGGGTATGTCTACACTAGCCCCCTAGTTCGAACTAGGGAGGCTAATGTAGGCATTCAAAGTCGAAAATCAAGCCCGGGATTTAAATATCCTGCGCTTGATTTGCATTTTCCCGGCTGGTCACCATTTTTTTTTTTGAAATTTACAAGTCCAGACTAACTGCTCGCGTCTACACGCGGCAGGGATCCGGTAGTTCAAATTAAAGCCCTAGTTCAAACTACCTGTTAAACCTCATTCCAGGAGGAATAGCAGGTAGTTCGAACTAGGGCTTTAATTCAAACTACCGGGTCCCTGCCACGCGTAGACGCAGGCAGTTAGTCCGGACTTGTAAATTTCAAAAATGGCGACCGGCCGGCAAGATGCAAATCAAGCATGGGATATTTAAATCCCAGGCTTGATTTGCAACTTCGAATGCCTACATTAGCCACCCTAGTTCGAACTAGGGGGCTAGTGTAGACATACCCATAGAGATGTAGCCGTGTTAGTCTGGTCTTGCTGATACAAAAGACAGGACTATGCAGCACTTTAAAGACTAACAAGATGGTTTATTAGGTGATGAGCTTTCGTGGGCCAGACCCACTTCCTCAGATCAAATTGTGGAAGAAAATTGGCATGACCATATATACCAAAGGGATACAATCAAAAAAAGTGAACACATATAAAATAGACAAATCAGATTTTAGAACAGAGGGGCATGGGGGAGGGGGAAGGTTAATGTCTATGGGATGATATTAGAGGTGATAATTGGGGAAGCTATCTTTGTAATGGGTAAGATAGTTAGCATCTTTGTTGTAGGCATCTTACAGCAGAGAAGTCCTTCACCCCAGAAGTTGAACTGACGAGAGATACACAGTACATCTTTTACAGTCAGAATCCTAGAGAAAAGCCTGTATCCATGATTACTTACTAATAGTTGAAGCAACTTCTACAGAGAACATGAAAAAGGTTTTTCAGCTCCTGTGGTTCATTTAAGTTGCATGATTTGTGATTCTGCTTTATCAGCCATCAGTAATGTTTCTTTGTTTCTGGAACATTTTTTGGTATCACAAAAGTACAGGTTGGACCTCCCATGTCCAGCACCCTTGGGACCTAACCCATCCCGCCCCCTGCCACTGGCCTCCTGGAACATTTCCCCTCTCTGTGGCTGGCTCCACTCCAGCCCCACTGGACTCCAGTCTGCAGGGCTTGGATTTGAGCTCTGGACCAGTGGTGCTCTCTGGGAACTGAGCTCCCCAGCTGCCACGGCCCCACTTCTTCCCTGCTCACCCAGGAATCCCCGGGGAAGGATCTTGCTGGTTGCTCCACTGCTGTCCTGCCTGGCCTGGTGACAGGGCTCGTCTGTCCTACTGCTACCCCACCTGGCTGGGGCTCCCGGCTGGTTTGCCCTCCCAGGTGCTAGGGCTCTCGGATCCTGCGAGATCACAAATGTTGCCAGATCAGAGTCTCAGATTTGTGAGGATCAAGCTGTAGAAAATGTTCCCCAGCCCACCCACCAGAAAAAAAAAAGACACTGCTGTTGTTGCAATGCGTAGCATGGTAACATTTCCAAAACAGGATGTTCTCTGTCCTGCACACAGGTATTGTAGAAACTTTAGTAGCAGCCCTGTTCTACTTTAGGTTGGTGAGCAAACTCTGTTATCTTCCTAATTTGAATACTTTAGATTTAACTACAGGTCTGGCATCTGACACATTAGGGCTTATTCAAGCAAGTTCACAGTCCTCTGCAAAGCTATTATCCTCACTGCAATGTCAGTGTTTGAACTGCCCTATGATCCTGTGGTATGGTGAATGTAAGGTTGTTCAGCTCTTATAGGGATATTGGGGTCCAAAACAGGGTAGGTGTTTGTGGAAGGAAATTCAGAGGTGTTCTTTCTCTTTTTAAAGACGATAAGGGGCTAACCTGTGATGTGCCCCAGGCCAGGAAAGCTGTATTAGATCAAAATGTCTTGTTTCTCCAAGATCTCAAGTGATTAGCCTCAAAGCTCAGCCCACACAAAGCATTTGAAGCTCTGTATGATGCAGCATTAGATCACGAGCAGTTTTGGTAAGTCTTTGTGGATGGAGGCGTGGCAGTATCATCTTTATCAGTCATAGTCAGGTACAATGACATCATTTACATGTCCCAGTTTTGCTTAATATATTGCCAAGAATATATTTCCATTCTTCATGGAAAGCAGGAGTTATTATTTCTAAATACTCAGCCCATTATTTTGAAATAACAGGCTTGATAGTGTGGACACTCCACTTCTTATTTCAAAATAACTCCCTAGTGTAGACCAGCTCTAGATTACATAATTACGGACTTACATTCTTGTTTGTTTAATGTTGTGTTTTTTTGAAACAAAATATAGGCTGTATCATCAAAAATTTACTCAGTAAGTCTCTTGTAACATCAGGTTACTCAGGCAGGTAAATGTTTCTAGTTTTGGGAACCATCATGTTTAATCGGATCCAGAAAATAAAGGAAATGTTTTTCTCCAAAAAGCAAATAGCTTATACATAAATAATCTTGCCGAAC